AGCGCTCTGCACCTGTGATTTCTTCATACTCCTCACTGTCCTCACCGTCCCCCACCTCTCTCTCTCTCTCTCTCTCTCTGTGCTTTCCGACCCACAACTCACCAGCTGAGAAGGCCATGAAAGCCTCACGCCGACGGAAGCCTCCTTTCTCATCCAGGAAGTTGGTGGGATCGAATGCTTCCGGGTCTTTGAACTGGGTGGCATCTTTATGGATGGAGTAAAGGACAGGCATGACGTTGGTGCCCTGGTGGGAAAGGAAACCACATTGCTAGGTTTTCAGTCTGTCTTCCTACTGAGTCTTGGTGGATCCCTAACCTACTTCCAATTTCAAAATTTATATAAATATTTGGCAAGTGTCTGGAACTGCAATGGGGTGCAAATTTGCACCGGAATTGGTGAATCTTTTTATGAATAGGTTTGAAAATCAGTTCATCCTTAATGCAAACAACATTATTATTTTCAAAAGATTTTTGGATGATATTTTTTTTACTCTGGAAAGCTTCCGTTCCACTTTTATTGGCATTTAAATAGTTTGTCAATGGCCTGCATGAAACTATCAAATTTGAAATGAAATATGATTATAAGGAAATTAACTTTCTGGATGTCAGTATAAGAAGGGTGGGAAACACAATAGAGACCAGGACTTATAGAAAATTTACAGATGACAACTCCTTTTTGTCTAGTGCCAGCTTTCAACCACCATCTAAACATCTAAAAAAGAATCTTCCCTATTCCCCATTGTTGAGGCTTAGGAAAAACTGTAGCCTGTATTCTGATTTTGTTCAACAGGCTAAAATACTAATTGGCCAATTTAGAGACAGGGGCTATTCTTCCAGAATTGTCAAGCAGGCTTTCCATAAGGCAAAAAATACCAGTAGGTCCTTCCTCTTGATACCTAAGAAAAGACAAGGTCAGTCTGATAGGATTATTATTCCACTGACATATGATGGAAGATCAACTGAGGTCAGTAACATCATTAGAAAACATTGGCATTTATTAACTAATATTCCTTCATGTGAGACTGTCCCTCTCTTTGCCTAGTGGAGTTCTAAAAATCTGAGAGAGATGATAATAAGAAGCAGCTTAAAATCTTCTCCAGCAATACAAAGGGGAGTAGATGAGCAAAATTTACCAACTGGCAACTCTCCCTGTGGAAGATGTGAGGTTTGTGATTTGATGTTATGTACAAACTTTTGCTATGATTCAGCTAAGCAGAAAAAGTATAATATTAGGTCATTTTTCAATTGTCTTATCTATGGCATCATCTGTAAATGTGAAAAAAATGTATATAGGAAGTACTTCAAGGCCAATAAAGATCAGGATTCCAGAACACAGACGTTGCATCAGACAGAGAAGAAAAAATGCTCCCCTCACAGACCACTTCGAAACTGCTGGTCACAGTGACAGAGAATTCTCTTTCTTTGCTCTGGAATATGTTCGGCCTTCCAACAACCTTCAGATGACCCGGCATTTGAAAACCCTTATATTGTTTTGGATCCATGCCCTTAAAACTTTAACCCCATATGGTCTAAACGAACTGGTGTATGGTATGATTTTATGACCATTCAAAATTTAGTCTGGAATGTTATGCTGTATGGGGGATGTGCAATCACATGACCATTTCAAGGCATTCGACAAGGACTGCATCATCTAACACCGGGTATAAAGCGCCAGCACTTTTGGCTATCAGCTAAAGGGACAATTTTGCTGAGGACACCTTAGCTTAAATTAAACAATCATTGAAAGCAGGCCCGTAGCTAACATGGGGCCCATGGGGCCTGGCCCCCTTGTGCTTCTTCTGGGCCCCCTCCCTCCAGGGCTGCCCCCAAAGAGCTCCAACTTACCACCTGCACTGTACTTCCATTTAATTAGCTGGCGGGCCCCCCCAAGGCCCCCTCCCAAAGAATTCCCTAGCTACGGGGCTGATTGAAAGGCACTTTCTGGACCAGAAGTAACAAAATTAATTTTATTTATTAATTACTTTTGAATTAAGTTTCAATACTGTAGATTGCACTGGTTAATAATTTTTTTGCTTCTAGAATATTATCAGTGAAATATTATATGGCATGTGATTGGCTCTTGGGAGGCCTCGTTTATACTTTTATTCGGTGCCTAGTAGTTTCACTTTGGAAGTCAGTCAATTTTTTTTACTATAATATAGGCATTGTTTATTCATTTTTTTATATGTATTTAGTTTACATGGGTTTTTTTATTTGGGGGGGGGGGGGGTTTACAGCAATTCTTTCCTGGTCCATTTTGTGTCCATGCTGCATAATTGTATTGTATTATGGTATAAGCTAATTTGTTTTTCATTGCGTCTGACCTCTGAATAGGGTTGCCAAATGGGGCTGGGGGGCGGGGAATCCTCCGCTTCGGAGGCCCGATTTCCGCCGTGGCGGAATCGGGCCCGGGGGGAACTCTGCCCCCGAAGTTGCGTCACCAGAGGTGACGCAGCCACGTCACGCACATTGGGGGCGTGACCCACATCGTCGGGGGGAAACCATATGGGGGGGAAACCATATGGGGGGGAACCCAACGTGAGCATGCAGCACGTCACTTCCTGTGACGTGCTGCCAGCGCGTGCGCGCTTTAGGCGCGCGCACGCGCATCCAACATGAACCCCCGGACCCCGGTGAGGTTCCCCCACTCCGAGGGGTGAGTCAACTTGGCAACCCTACCTCTGAAGAAGGCCTAAACAGGCCGAAACGCGTCAGGTCAAGTTCACTGGCCCTTGTGTATATGATTTTGGACTTTTTATATGAGGTGTAATTGGGCCCCTACATGTTTTTAAATCTTTACAAATAAATACATGTATTTTTATATATTGTATATATTAAGTTTTAATTGTTGGCCCTCTACTCTGTTTGACTTACCTTTTTAGGTTTTTCATCCTAGGTTTCAGGGTTGAGTTTCTTTCCCTTTTTTTTGTTCACAGTTGGATCCCTAACCTCAACCCTAACCATTCCTTTTTTGCACCCAACTCCCTGTGTCTCCAGTGTATGTTTCTGGATTTGGGCCCCCCATTTCTTAACCTGCATAGCACAACAGCAGAACCCGGCTACTCCTCCCTGAGGGTTCCCTTGAGGCAGGCCTGTTGTGGGTCCTGCCCCCAGGCACATTTATTTATTTATGTTATTTGTTCCCATGGAAATTAGGGGAGGCTCTGCCGAAATTCACCCCTTCTCTTCCCCTCTGCTTTGTTCTCCTCTCTGGGGTATAAAAATGCATGCTGGGATCCAGTCGAGCAGAGCCTACATTAGAAATATTTCCGCGTAAAGTGGAAACAGAGTCCTTTTGTTTCTCTTTCTTTAGCCAGATTGACACATGCTGTGGTTGAAATCAGAGGCTTGACCAGGTTTTGGTGGCGCCGTCACCAACACTCGGAGACCTTCCAAGAAGCACTTGTCCAGCAAGTGAAGATATGATTTGGGTATCTCAAGTTTAATTTACATGTTCTACAGCTGTATCTCCAGTATGTTGCAGAGGTGGTCAAATCCTGTGATGGTGTGAACTTGGTCCAGATGAACTGGAAGTGGAATGCCACCACCAGTAGTCCTTCTAAGTGAGGATGCCCTAAGAAGCCACTACCGTTTTCTTGAAAAGAAAAGTTGTGTTTGATGTAAAAAAATCAGGAACTAGTAGTAGTAGTAGTAGTAGTAGTAGTAGTAGTAGTAGAAGAAGAAGAAGAAGAAGAAGAAGAAGAAGAAGAAGAAGAAGAAGAAGAAGAAGAAGAAGAAGAAGTTGGATTTATACCCCACCCTTCCCTTGGAGTCTCAGAGCATCTTACAATCTCCTTCCCTTCCTCTCCCCACAAAAGACACCCTGTGAGGTAGGTGGGGCTGAGAGAGCTCTGAGAGAGCTGGGACTGGCCCAAGGTCACCCAATTGGCTGCATGTGGAGGAGGAGTGGGGAATCAAAACCAGTTCTCCAGATTAGAGTCTGTTGCTCTTAACCGCTACACCGAACTGACTTGCCAAACCTGCTAAAAGGCAAGAGGATACCTTAGGGAGCACGAAGCCATGGAATTCAGTGTCGGTCGTCACAGCATGGGGGATCCCCATTGGCAAGATATCAGCAAACCGCTGGATCTCGTGGATCAAGGCCTCAGTATACGGCATCTGCACCCGATCCTCAAACGATGGGCTACGGTGAGGGCCAACGACCCGGCTGATCTCTTCGTAGACCTTGGCTGTGCACATACGGAAGAAACAGGAACATGGAACTTGCCTGGGTACAGCCATATTTGTGGAAGGGCCAGAATTCAGGGGGGAAGGAACATGCTTCGCCACAGGTTCAGTCCCCCAGAAAGTCTAACTGGGAGACATCTCGTGGAATTGGACTAGGAAGGACCTTTCTCTGCATGAGACCTTGGCAAATTGGGGAGAAGAGGGGAAATAGTGTGCCGGGGGACTGACGGGATCCGACTCAGCACGTGCCCAAGTGAATAAATAACCTTCACATCTCACCCTGCATTTCAGGGTACTTCATGAGGATGAGGATCCCGTAACGGAGGGTGGTGCTGGTGGTCTCCGTGCCCCCAAAGAACAGGTTGTGGGTGGTCATCACAAGGGTGTTCATGTGAAAGTAGGTGAGGGGGTCCTTCTTTTCCTGCAGGGCCAGAGGGAGAGAGAACATCCTTTACATGTGCAGGGAGGCGGAAGCTGCTCCACACCCTCCAGGAATAAGCTTAGATAGCCACATGCGCCATCAGAATGTAGCTAGCTCTTCATTGCCTTTTAATTTCCCTCTAATGTGTATCTTAGAAGATCCCTTTCCTTTGTCTAGTGGATTATCTACAACAACAAACAGTGCAGCACACAGTAAGAAATAGCAAAGAAAAACAGAAAACGACTGTGAGCCGAATATCCTGCAAAAAATACACAAAAGGAGACTTCAGTAAAGTGAAATGCATATATAGTCTGAAATGAATCTATTCATGTAATCCCTCATAGGAAAATACAGAAGCCAAGAAGATCCATAATAGGAAAATACCGAGTCCAAAGTATAAATATACAATATCCAACACTTTTTCTAGGTAATTTTCAGTGTTTCAGACTTCTGGTCCTTCCTCCGGAACAAGGAACATTGGGAGTCTCATTCCATTTCCTTATAGGATAATATACTATTCTGTTTCTTCAACATTGGGCAAGGGCCCTTAGGACTGTACACTGATCTCAACCAAGGGGCACGAAGATGGTTTTCCAGGTGAGTCTACAACACAAGATGACTTAGTGTCCACTGTGTTTCAACACAGATGATATTTTGCTTTAGATAGCAATCCCCCCCCCCCTTTTGTATTATTTGCTGTGTGGACGCTTGTACCAAGAAGTGACAAAATTGCAGAAAGAAAGGAAAGGAGAGGAAGAAGATCCTCCGAGTTGTCAAGTGGCCAAGAAGATGGATTGATGGACACAAGTAGCCACTCGAACCCTTCCCAGCCCACTTGAGTCAGGAAGTATTTAGGAACTGGGTGGCGAGATTCGGCCCTTGGACATAAGCCGAACCCGTCTCCGTTGCCGAAATTTCACCTGCTGCATTTTGAGAAGGAAGCAGTCGATGAAATCGCGAGGGGAGTTGGGGTCCAAGGTCTCTTGGTGCATCTTGACCATCTCCAGAACAAAGAGACGCAACTTCTCGAAATTCTCGAAAATTCTGTTGTGGGGTCCGGGCAGGTAATACAGGACACGAGGGAACAGGTTGTACATCTGCAGAGAAGAAGAAGCAACACCAGTGGCCTGGATCAGGCCCAGCAGCATCCACATAGGCTTGTTCCTGTTTCCCCAAAGTAAATAAATAGAATACCCCCAGAAGGCCAACAAGAAGGACACAGAAGCCTGTGTTTATTTAGAAGAAGAGAAGAGACTGGCTTTATACCCCATGGCCCTTCACTACCCGAAGGAGTGGCTCACAAACTCCTTCCCCTTCCCCTTCCCCTCCCCACAACAGACACACCCTGTGAGGTAGGTGGGGCTGAGAGAGCTCTGGACGGAAGCTGCTCTTTTTTTCAAGAACAGCTCCGACAGAACTACGGCTTGCCCAAGGTCATCCAACAGGTGCAAGTGGAGGAGTGGGGAAGGATTAGAGTCCACGCACTCAACCAGGACACCAAACTGGCTTTACTTGATTTATAGCCTACCTTTCATCCTAATGGAGACCCAAAGCAGCTTACGTTGTTCCCTTCCCCTCCGTTGTATCGTCACAACAACCCTGTGAGGGAGGTTAGGCTGAGAGTGTGTGACTGGCCCGAGGTCACCCAGCGAGCTTCCATCGGATAGAGTGGGGATTCAGACCCCCAAACCCCAGTCCGACACTTTAACCACTACACCGCACCAGCCCTCAAAGAGAACACGGAAGTTCCATTTAGCCTTGGATGGAATTCGTCTCCACCAGTTGGCGTGATCTCCTCTTATGGCCGTCTAAGAGAGCAGTTCTCACTCACCTGCCCCCACCAGGAACTTAGGCGCTGGAAGTTGTTGTTCATCAGGCCAACCAAAGTGAGGAATTTTTTGTCCTCGTAGTCAAACCGGTCCCCGAAGACAATGGAGCAGATGACGTTGGAGACACCACGGCTGATGAGGAATGTGGGGTCAACGGGCTCCGCTGGGGAAGCACCAAAAAGGACAGGCTGGGTCAGGGATTGGGGGGGGGGGATTTAGCTAGATCAGGGGTGTCAAACATGTGGCCCGGGGCCTGGATCAGGCCCCCGGAGGGCTTCTGTCAGGCCTGCGGTGGAACTGGCTGTCTTCTGCTGCTTCTTCCAGTTCTGCTGCTGCTGCGTCATTCTGGGTTTGCAGCTTACAGATACACACACCTGAACAGCATACTCAGCATTGCAAGAGCACAGACATTTTGATGCAATAATTCAGAGCAAGAGGTGTCAGTTATCAGACACTCTTAAAGAAACAAAATATTGCAAGAGTGCTAACGTTTTAAGCAAGTTTTAAAGTAAAAAAACCCCCTTTGTGTTTGTGTCCTTTATAAAGTTTATATCTCCGCTACCTGGCATAACATTTTATGACACACGTGGCCCGGCCCAACAAGGTCTCGTTTATGTCAGATCCGGCCCTCGTAACAAATGAGTTCAGCACCCCTGAGCTAGATACTATGTGATCAGACAAATTATCTGGGTATAAATGCACTGATAAATTTGTTAGATCTATTTGTATTTTACAAAACTATATTAAAAGTACCTGGGTGAAGGGAATATCCAGGATCCCTGCAGGAAACACTCTGGCAGGCAAAAGTGATAGCTCTCTATTATGGAGGGTGGACTCTATGGCCGTGTACCCCACTGTAGCTCCTGTCCTTCCCAAGATCTGTCCACAAATCTCCTGGAGTTTCCCCACCTGGATATGCTAACCCTACCTCCCCCCCGCCCCAGTTCCCTGCCAGCGGCCAGCAGGGACCTGGGAGGGCTGGCTCCCAAGTTGACCACGCCCAGCAGGAACTCATTAGCATAATAGGCCACACCCAACAGCAGAAACTCATTAGGATTGGCTACATTACGGGTGTGTGGCCTAACATGCAAAGGAGTTCCTGCTACAAAAAAAGCCCTGGGTTTTGACAACAAACAAGGTAAACA